CCTTCCTTCCTTCCTTCCTTCCTTCCTTCCTTCCTTCCTTCTTTTGGGGTTAAATGTCACTATTAATGAGGAAATCAAGTCTTGGGTCAGGGGGAGATTTTGTCATCTTCCAAAGATGGTAGACGGATCTTCTGTGTGGCCAGTAAGTCTTGTGAAATCTATGACGCCTCTTGATAGTGAGGTTGGCTTTCCTCCCCTGGCCCTTATGCCTCATAGTCTTTGCTGTTCTTGACCTGAAATCCAGCTAGTCCCTCTCTCTACCTTCTCTGTCAGAAGTCTGCTCATTCATTACCTGTGGTTTTTCAGCCCTTCTCAGTGATAAACTTCTACTGTTGCCTTAGCTTGCTGCCAATAATTAGTCTTGGAGGTGCTGGTACCATGATGTATATTTTGGACTTTACATTCTAGAACAATGGTTTTCATCCTGAGGGTCACAAACTGTTTGGGCAAACCTTTATCTCCAAAAACATTTCCATTACAATCCATAACAGTAACAAAGTTACAGTTATGAGGTAAAACCCAACATGATTTTGTGGCTGTGAGTCACCATGACATGAGGAACTACATTAGAGTCATAGCGTTAGGAAGGTTGAGAGCCACTGCTCTAGAATGGCAGGATTCCCTTTTATGAGAGGCAGTAGAGGAAATCCTCCTGCCATGTAGGACACCCCTGTCAGCAGTGTCCTTTAAAAAGGTCTCCTGAGGTTTTCTCTGCCTTCTACATTGGTGGCCAGTTGGGAGGCCAAGCCCACGGACACATTCTATGGCTCAGTTGGTGTATGTTCCCATGTGTTGAGATCATGAGCCAAAGACAGTTTCTTCCTGTTGTCTGTTAAACAGGAATCATCAAGAAATGTGGAGATCCTACTTCATATTTCTGAGTCTTTTTGATGTAGGAGCAACAAGAGGAAGATCAAAATCAAGCTAGAGATGGGCCTGGTTGGTCTCCATGTTGCTCTTGGAATGGCTATGAGAATGCTAGCTCCCAGAGTCTTCATCTTGCCTTCTGTAATGCTCAACGATGGGAAACCAGCATCTCCCACTTGTCTGTGTCAGTGTTTGTTTGAGCTCCAGGCTGGTGATGGAGCTGGGCGTGTGCACACCCAAGAGGCTTGCTGTTCTGTTGTTTTGTTTTCATGAGTTGGTTCTTTATGTAGGTCACACTGGTTCAGAGCTCTGGATCCCCCTGCCTCACCTCTTGGCTGCTGGCAGAGTTCTCTAGGCGACAATCCTTCATCTTGATCTGTTTTGAATCTCAGGCTTAGCATAGCCCACATGGACTTTATAGATGCCTAGGGTTCAGGACTGTGTAAGGTGGATGATGAATGGAAGTCTTAGGTGAGATCAAATTTAATACTTTTATTGGTCCCATGAAAGTACCCATGAGTGCGATCGGGGTACATTTCCAGTGCTGTATTCTTCTGATGTAACTGTGTATTCATGGAGCCCCTCTCCCCTCTCCAACTCTCTTCCAGACTGCGCAGACTGTCCTGGTTGTGGTTGTGGTATTCGGCATATCCTGGCTGCCCCATCATGTCGTCCACCTCTGGGCTGAGTTTGGAGCATTCCCATTGACCCCAGCTTCCTTCTTCTTCAGGATCACTGCCCACTGCCTGGCATACAGCAACTCCTCAGTGAACCCGATCATATATGCCTTTCTCTCAGAAAACTTCCGGAAGGCATACAAGCAAGTGTTCAAGTGCCACATGCGCAAAGAACCGCTCCCCGGCGATACTAAAGAAAACAGGAGCCGAATAGACACCCCTCCATCTACCAACTGTACTCATGTGTGAAGGTTCGCTTGAGCCTCCTGTCCTTTAGCTCCCGTGTGTGTTAGAGAGAAGAGGCTATGGTGAATTATCAAGAAACATGGCAGCTTGTTCTACTGACAAAAATTCATATTGTTCTAGCTACGTTCCATAGCTGTTAAAGTGCTTTGATTGTTTAGGGAACTCCGGGGTCCACTGAAGATTATTTTCTAATTTGTTTCATCTTATAATTATATTTCTGAAACATAAGAAAATTCTATATAGTTTCTATCTCTCAAGGAGTAAAAGTCAAATAGCATTCTATAAATATGTTCTGATCTCCATGGCATAAGGCAACTTCTGTAGTGAAGAATATTTGAAACCTACATTTTAAAGCCAGTTAAATTTAGGGAAAAAGTTCCTTTTCTTCTTTCAATTTAGAGAGAAGAAATAATACCCTGTGTTTTGAAATAGAATTGTGGTCCCAGAACAGTGAATTTTATTTTATTGAACCTTTGTGGACAGGGTGGGCAGGGATGTTTTTCAAGGTCTGTTCCCCTGGGTGGCCAGAGGTCTGTCTGGGACCATGAGACCATCAAGTTCATCTCAGGAGATCAGCAGTGACTCTACTTTGAAACAGTCTGGCGAACTGGAAGGTGTAGGGTGAACTAAGCGATGCCCAGCGCGTCTGCCGGGGACTGCTGCTCTGGCAGATGCAACAGAGGGTGAGTTCCGAGAAACTGCATGTTAGAGCTTTAAGGATGTTCTTGGCAAATGCGCCTCCAAAGATCCTATGAAACCAGTCGGCCAATAATTTTTATGGGATGGAAAAATGGACAAAACTTAGCCACATGGGTAATATCCATGCCCAATAGAGAAATCAGGAGAGACATTTGATTCCGAACAACCAAAGACAAAGAATATGTGAGAGGGTATATATATATAGAGACATGCTATTTTATACAGACCTGCTTTTTTTCATTAAACTTGTACCAACAAATGTTTAATGCTCATTTGCCCCAAGTATTATTTCATGGGTTAATGTTAATTTAGAGTTAAAATCCTCACCACTTGACTTACAAGTGTAATTTTTATGACAATTTCATATTTATTTATACTTGCCATAGGAAAATGCTGTGAAAATGCTAAACTGTCCTATCTTAGAAGAATAATGATTAGATTTAAGACTTTGATATACTTTAGGAGGCAGTAAGCAAAAGCAAAACACTTTTTTTTTCTAAATCAAAAGGGTGTTGTGTCTGTGCCAAATGAGGACTCCCTCTGAAGCATCTAGTTTATGTTACAAAACAATGTCAGGTAAACCCTTGGCATGTTAACTTTTCTAGCTCCACCCATTTATTTTCGTGACCATCTCCAAGTGAACAGTGTGTACATTTGCAAAGGCCTAAGTCATTCTCTGGAAAAAGAAACCCTGCTGGAATCATGGGAAATGATGGGTTTTCAGTGGTTGCCAGGGAAGGACGGCACGCTGGCAGAGGTGGGTATTTTAAAGATAATTGTGAGCCCTTTGCATGGGTATTTGTTTGTCTGCACTTTATTCAATATTTTATCTTGAAAAGATACCTCATGTAGTTTGTGGAACCCGAAGCTGCCACTGTAGATGTTGGCGTACCTTCGTCATTCCACAGAGGTACTTGGTCAGACCTGTGTGTGAAGAGAGATTTCTTATGCTGTCAGAGCTGCCTTGTTCTCTTCTGGTCAGAGGTACCTTAGAGGAGAGTGTTTAACAATACTGTGGCTGGGGCAGGGCTCCTCAAGAAGCTATAATGGCGTGAGTGCTGGCAGCGTGTGTTCACACAACTATGGCTGGGTCTTCCTCAGACAGCAGCCTCTAAAGGTCAGGCCTACAGCAATACAGTGACGACTCACATCTGCAAAGCCCAAATTTGCTAAACACCCGTTCAAAGTGCTCCTGCTACTGGAAGATGCCTCTTGAGAACTGCCTGTCATTCTAATGATTTTCTCGTAGCCTTGTACCTGAGTGAATCTCTAAAGCAACTTAGAATCCTGATTGTAGCCTACTTTCTGCAAAGATGGGATACTCAGTGTTCCGGATGGAGTTCCTAAGAGCCTGGGCAGATCAGCCAGGAAGAGCCTGTACATGTGGCAAACTTCTTCCTGTTGTGGCTCTTCCTGTTAAGTGAGCACCGAGGTCAGCCTGGAGGCGCTGGATGACCGTGGCCCCTCTGACACAGGGGCATTCCCTGCAGCCAGGCAGAGGAGGAAATGTGTGGGCCTTTGAAGCCGGATGGCTGTGGAACTATGATTTTTAGGGTGTTTCAAAGAAAACTGATGTTTTCTCTACAAGCTCTCCTGCTTCAGCGCTGCGAGGCAGCTGTTGCTTTTGTGGGATCTTTGCTTTAGTGCAGAGATGGACTTGCATCTGCTTAACTAGCTGGAAAGTTTGCTGTTACATGTATGTACACACACCTGCACACACCCATTCCAGCTTCCTGCTGAGGAGTGCAGTCAGCAACATTCCCAAGAGGTGTTGTGATACTTGTTTTATGCCCTTCCAACCGACCACGTATGTATTCAGCAGTGTAGGAGACTGAGGCCTCTCTCTGAATATTTTAGGCAAATTATTGTTGCTTTTAACTAAATTGTTCAATTTACACATTGAGAGTAGAACAATTTCCTGTCTCCCTTTGTCCATCTTTTGTGCTTTTGTCCTCGTCTCAACTTCCTACCTCTCCAGAAGTCCTTACCTGATGTATTTTTCAGAGTTAACCTCATTTTCCCCAGATATAACAGGTCAGAGCAGAGAGTGAGCTGGCTGGGTTTATGAGTCATGTGGGGCTTGGAGCTGCTTATGACTCAGCTTCAAATTGGGACGGGGTGGATCCCTGCTTTTAGCTACCTCTCAGGCGCACAGAGATCCAGCCGTGATAACTTCACTCTGCTGACTGAAACCGCAGGTTGGGATGGCTCTGACAGGAGAGGACCATTCACTGACGTGCCTGCTTCCTCCCATTCTGGGCTACGTAGAGCCCTTGAGCCTTGCTGTACTTGGGATAAAACCACATTAAGAACAGTAAGAATGATAGGTGTGTGGCTGCACTTGGCTTTGGATTTGCTACATACATACGTATGTATCACAAATGGTGGGAACTGGAGAAATGCACGATGGGGATGGGATCATTTCCTGAGGAAGTTCAGCAAGTGCCAGTTCTCATCTCTGCTGGCTGGAAATGTTTCTCATGCTTTCAATTTCTGAGTGGCTGACTAGGGAACTGAGTCAGACCCTCAGTCATTGAAGAGTTGTATGCCAGGCTTCTTCTTGATGCTACCATAATAACCTGCCTAGCTAACCCCTTGTTTATTATTTTGGCCATATGAAACAGGTGGACAGTGAGTCTCATAATGACTGACTTGCAATGGTAACTCTATCTGCTTTAAATGGACATGATATTTGAATACTTTCCCTGTCAGAAGTGAGAAAATTGAGCTGCTTAAAAGGCTTCGCATGTTATGGATGTATGCTGCTTTTGTGTAAGGCAAGTGTGTTTCAGGTCACACATTAGATGTTCTGCTGCTTTCTTGTGCGCATGCCATGTCTCTGATTCTACCTGGTGGCTTCTCAGTGTGACAGGCTCAGATGGCACCCTGCAGGTCTGAGGTAATCCTGTCTATGCGCTGATGGTATGCTGAAACATTCACTGGCTTGGAATTTACTCCTTGATGGTCTTGGTGGTCGGTTGTGTCCTGTCAATCCTGTTGGCTCCATGAGCATCTGGGGTGCTGGGGTGCTGTTCTGGGTACAGTGACAGCCATATGGCCACATGAGTGGACAAGGAGAGGGGAAAGGAAGTGAGCCTTCTACCTCTACTTGCCCTGTGAAAATGATCCCATCTAGATTTTCTGAATCTACGCAGTTCTGGCTGGAGTTGGCGGGTTGAATAGCTGCAGGAGAGCTTATCCTGCTGCTCAGGCTTCTGTCGTCAGCTTGGGTGGAAAGTGTGGTCTTCCTGCTGAGGAGCAGACTTTAGGGCAATGCAGGCTGCACTGTGTAGCTTCAGATCCTCAGAAGTTAGAGAATTCAGCCACTGAAGAGACTTAGAGTGAACTGGGGCTCTACCTCGGATGTTTTCTAGCATCTTGGAGTATGGGAGTCCGTGCAATAGCCCCTCGTTGGCTGAGCTTTAAGCTCTGTAGGCTTCTTTGGGATAATGTCTACCACGGTTCTGCATTTCAAAAGATTAGACACTGATGATTAAATCTGGCTGATTTGTGTGTCATCAGATGCCTGTGGAGCTGCGAAGCTCTTTTTCTCCCTCAGTCAGCTTGTTTGGGGCATGGAAACACCACTGTTAAGCCACACGAAGACAGAGAAGTCAGGTCGTGGGTGACCCTTCCATATTGCATCAGGGTGGGGCCAGCCTTTCAGGGTATAGCTGACCATGCAGGCACCTGCCATTGTGCCCTCAGGAGGAAGAGATTTACTATTGACTGGAATAATTGCTAGTCCAGGAACGTCTGAGGGGATCCCAGGGATCATGATCCTGGGGTTCCTTAGGATCCATGGACCACAGCACACAAAGCCTTGCTGAACTGCTCAGAAAACCACTGGGGGACACCCAGGCTTGCTTCTGGGGCTTCTGCCCTTCAGGCGACTGGGAACCATGGGAAAACAGTGTGGAATGAGATTGTTGGCCAAGCAGCTTCCATTTCTTCAGTCTAGTAGGTGACTTTTCGTTCAATCAGTCACAAAAATCTGTGAAGCATTTCTCTGAGAAGATAACTGCGAACCCAAGCCACGTGCTGTTCCTTGTCTACGCGAATTTCTATCATCCTTCTTCACTCACTCCTTCTCAGCTGTTCTCTCCCACTTTTACTTAGCTTTAGCCACATTTCCACATGTTTCTGTCAGTGTGGAGGGATATTCAGAGCTTGGCCATGTCTTCCATATCCTCATTGCTTACTTTGGATTTAGGATGCTTCTTGGACCTCTCGACAATAATTACTTTTTAAACAGCTAAGTGTGAGACACGTAGACTTCAGGAGCAAACTGTTTCAATAACAGATCATGGGTGGTTAATCAATTTTTTCCCACAGTCAGACTGCACAAGAGGCAGCCAGACATTGCTGGAATGACAGCCCTCTGGTAGGGAGGTAGGCCTTGAGAGGGCTGTGCCCCTGAGAACTCGCTTCTGAAATGCTGTGCTCAGTGGTGGTGGTGGGCCAGCAGAATGAGTGCAACCTCAACTTGAGATCAGCAGGGTCTCCTGGGCAAGCGCCACCATGCTGTGCTCTGGGAACCCACCACTGGATCCACGTCAGTGAGAACATTCAAGCTGGTGACTGAGTTTCAGAGCCTCTGCCATATTCTTCCTGGCACAACACAAGACAAGATGAGCTGTGGGCAGCTAGGACCCATAGGGTACCTGAAAACCTTGAGGATGGACTCAGTTGTACCAGGTGATCTTGAGGATGGACTCAGAATCTGGTGATCTTGTTATTGATGCTGCTATCTTAGGTGTGGCTATTGAAAGACAGACTCCGATTGCCAACAGCTGAGGTTCAAGAACGTAGAACTAGGAAGTACTCCATCTGATTAGAAGTTAAGAAATTAAAAAAAAAAAAGAAATCATGGTTAACAAATCTTGATTGCAGCATGGTGACAGGCACCCAGCGTTGACTATAAGAGTGTTTTTACCATTGAAAGCGGGGGGAGGGGGGGTTATTGTTTTGTTTTCCTCTAGAGAATGCTGCTTATATGGAGGCAGCAAAGAAAACAGTTTGCATTAGCAGGCTCAGGGGCAGGCAGCCACACCCAAGCTTCTGGTTTTTGTGCACTGGGTCTCTCAGCTTCCAGTTAGCAAACAACTGTTCTTCACATGCATGAGGGCAGTAGACAGAGTCTAGGTCTGAGGTGTTTTTTAGACGGAGCTAAAAGATTAAAGGCAGCAACTCCAGACAGAAAGCCTAATTATATCACAGACCTATCCAGAAGCTATAAATGGCTATGTGAGGGCTGTTTTCCATGGTTTAGAGTTCTAGTGTTCCATCTTATGTTCTTATATCACGTGAGACTGGGAAGCTGACAGAGGGGAAAGGCATTCTGCTCTGTGTCTGCTGCTGAATGGCTCTGTGTGTTTCTCAAGTTCTGCCTGCCTGAGCCGTGGGCACCGTGTGTACTGCAGGGAGGAGCATGGCAGGGAGGACTCCTTTTGGGTCTATGTTCCTGGCAAGTTATTCTTGGGAGTTTGGTATCCTTGTCATCTGTAGAGGAAGGTTCTGGAAAAGATGTCTCCAACTTGGAAGTCTAGATAGTCCTGTTCTCCCTTTCTGGGGTGACAGGGGAGTGGGCAGAGGGTGTGAGTTTGCTTGGGGGGGCTGAGCAATAAAAAGTGTAGGTATTCCTTCAGCCTTAGCTTGTGCGTAGATGGGAGCAAGCATTTTCTGTGATGTCCACACTGGTTATCTGAAGGTAAAGGCAAAACCTGGGCACCTGAGGGGTGTGATAGAAGGCTTCCCTGTGTCCAGGGGTTAGAACCACTCACAGTGACTGATGGGCCTCCAAGAGCCCA